TAAATTTTTCGGACATCCGAAAGTGGAGCGAAGCTTTTGGAGAAACCACATCCACGTACTATGACATTCCTTATCGCCGATACCAAATGCCAAAGGGAAAATTTGTTCATATCCGTCCTTTGTAGTTGCTACAAATAAGATGCCTTTATACTTACCCTTCAAATGCGCACCGTCAATCACAATAACAGGCCGACAATAACTGAGGAAGCCTGCAGACGCGTTAAAAGAAATGAAAGCATACTCAAACACGTCATCTTTATCAGTCTCAATGTATGCCGATGTTCCAGGATTTTCCTTCATCGACATATGAAAATACGCCGGCAAAAGTTCCCAGGATTTCTTATGATCTCCATAAATGAATTCGTAGGCGGCGTTTTGAGACCTCAGAGCTGTATCATATTTTAGCTTAATGCCATGATCACGCTCCATGTCACCCATAATCTCTGCAGGCTTTAATACTCGGCCCTCTGTCAACATCTTCGGCGCGAATAATGCTCCAATGATCTTTGCAGGCAATTGTCGAGGGGCTGAATGATTTAGGTTAACTGAGCATGTATGTGGATGGATAAATTTTGAAATTTTCCAACTACCTCCAGTCAGTGCATTCGTAGAAAGCAAGAATGGGCAATTTTTATACTTGCACACAACCTTTAACCGAGAATTTGAAGATCTCGGTGTTCGGAACTCCACTTTATGCTTCAAATGGTATAAACCCACTTTTACCAACAATTCTTCCTTACTTTCAATGACAACGACTTTGGCTATTTCACGATATATCATTGACGGCTCTTCAGACAAAGGATGAACATCAACGTTGTGAAAATTGGCTTCGGGAATCCTCCAACCGCTACTCGAACGAGTAGCAATTTCATTCAAATCGTCCTCTTCAATAGCAACCCCTCCAGAAAGGTCAAGCCGAGGAACATTGTGGATCGCTATACTCTTCTTGTTGCGTAAAATATCCTCATTTATACCACCCATCATGTTTGAGGGCGACACAACATTGTCGTCGATATCTTCATCTTCTTCAATTATGAAGTCCGGATCATCAATGTTATCATCCATCTCATTTAGGAGATCATCATTGCAAGGATCATCACCTTCATCATCACCTCCATCATCAAATTCATCATCAACTTCATCATCAT